ATATGCGCCGCTTCAGAATTCGTGCGCCGCTTTCAGAATTCCAAAACAAACGTGCGCCGCTTTCAGAAACCCAAAACGATTCCGATTATCAACTCGGTCGAGTTTACCGAGTTTGTAATATACGATGTTACCTGGATCGCAGCATGAAATTTTGGGATAAAAATGTGAATCGTGCGTTTTTGTGAGTTAACTTGCGATTCTGCAAACATTGCTAGTAATACCTCACATGTTGTAGGTGATTTGCTTTTTGAGCTTATGATAAAATGCTATAATCTAGTTTTGTTCGAGTGACTCTTTAATGTGATCCATGTAGCTGACCCCAGTTACTGGAATGAAATAAGGCTCGGTTGTTGTAGTTGTTGACTCTTTAATGTGATCAAAATCTGATAAAAAGTTGGTGACATAATGTTGGTTACACAAAATTGGGTTGTGTTGTTTTGAAGTGTAGGCCAATGACATTATTATTCAGCACACTTATGATGAGATAATTAACTTCTTGATCTGCATCATATAATTTGTTCTTCATTTTGATTTATTAATAGAGAATTCCTGCGAAGGACGCACTTGATGCTGAGTACTTCTGGACTGATCCTTTACCATGCGATCCCAAGAGGTATGGACCTTCCATGCACTGAGTTTTTCATTTTCAAAATGAAAATTTGACTTTGTGATCTTCATGAGATAAATGGCCCCTATTTAATTCTTCTAAGATTTATTGTTTCCATCAATTGATAATTTCTATGCATTTTAACTCATCACTTCCCTCATGTTTTTCTTAGTTTACCCAAGTATGAGTCCTCACATGAGTTTCAGACCAAGAAAAAGCGTCAGCAACAACGGCAAAATGAAGAAAATGCCAAGCGTCTTAAAATGCAGCACCCACAGCAGCATACCCGCCTTCCCCCGATTCAGCAGGGTGGACAACATGCCCAAATGCGGCAAGGCCCTTCCCACTCTATTCATGGTTCTCAAGCAGCAGTTGCTGCAGGACCTAGTCATCATTATGGTAAGCCTCGAGGTCCCTCTGGTGGTCCAGGAAGATATCCTCCTGGTGGAAACCCTAGTGGGGGATACAATCATCCAAATCGTGGAGGTCAAACTGGGGGTGCTGGTTATGGCAGTGGACCATATCCTCCTCAAGGGCGGGGGGCACCTTATGGGTCTAGTGGTATGCCTGCAGGACCCGGTGGTCCTCGTGGTGGAGGTGGAAGTGGCTATGGAGTTGGAGCTCCAAATTATCCTCAAGGTGGTCCTCCATATGGTGGATCGGCTGCTGGTCGTGGGTCAAACATGGGTGGGAATCGCAATCAACAGTATGGTTGGCAGCAGTGAAACATTTTATTCTCACGATGATTATTTATATTGTTGTCATTTGGTGATGCTCTGTGAGATGGAAGATTGAGAGTATTTGAGAAAAACATATATTTCCTATGGATTTTAGATTGTTAATATAATAATATTATGGTTATTACTTGATCTGCGAAGAAAAGCCTCTGGGAAGCTCGTACCATATTAGTTCCCAGAGATAAGAGACTACGAAAAGGTAGAGAACTTCTTGATGTTGTAGCTGTTTATTATGATATTTTATTTTATGCTTTAGATCTGCAATCTAGGTAGAGAACTTCTTGATGTCGTAGCTGTTTATTATGATATTTTATTTTATGCTTTAGATCTGCAATCCGTTTGAATGAAAACAATTTACTTCACACGATACGTTCCAAGCTAGTGTTCAAGAATTTGGGCCAAGATCTCTCCATTTCTATAATAAATTTAAGAGATTCTCTTAATAAACTCTTATATGGATACACTCTTATATGGGTGAAATAAACATTTGTCTTCGGAGATTCATCTTCGATCACACCTTAAGAGTGTGTTTGAATTAGGGATGTCAGTTTGGACCTGTTAATGGGGATCCCCGCGGGGAACGCCCCGTTCGGGGCCCCAAAGATGGGGAATTTTCTCCCGTGGGGGCGGGGATGGGGAGAAAAATTCCTCCGAGAGCATTTCGGGGACGGGGACGGGGAATACACCCCCCGCCCCGCGGGGATCCCGTCCCGCGGGGATCCCGCCCCGCCTATTATTTTAATATAGTTAATTTAATATATATATTTTAGATTAGGTTTTTTAGTCATTTCCTTTATGTTTATTTATAAAAATAAATAAATAAATATTCATGTATTTATTAAGAGAGAGAAATGTAAATATTAAAATTTTTTAATAACATAATAAATATGTGAATTCTTTGTGCTTTTTATTTTTATAGAAAATATAAACATTTTAAAAAAATAAAATATTAATGAATAAATGTAGGATCTATGGGGATCCCCGCGGGGAACGAGGATCCGCGGGGAACGGGGATGGGGATAGAAATTCCCCCGTGACGGAGAATGAATTTGATGGCGGGGAAAAAGATGGGGAAGTGTCCCCCCGGCCCCGCCCCGCCCCATTGACATCCCTAGTTTGAATGAGGTAATTAAGAATTTTTAAAGAATTCAAAATTCTAAGCAATTCAAATGATTAAATTAATTCATCCAATTTTAAAATTTTTTGTTTGGATGAAATATTAAAATGATTCATTGTTAAATTTAGGGTCATTTTTATAAATTTTTATTCTTTTGGATCAAATTTAAAATATGAAAAACAAGGACTATTCTGTAACTTTTGAAAATTTTAAAGGACCAATTTGTAAATTTTTTAGGGATTTGTTTGCAATTTTTTGAAAATTTTAGAGGTAAATTTATAATTTTTAAAAAATATGAGGACTATTTAATAAAATAAATAATTTAACATTTCTCAAATTCTTTACTTTTTGGTGTCATTTGAAATTCCTTAAGTTTGACTTGAATAAAATGCTAAATTTACATCATTTTAACGATTCTCCATATTTTTTATCCAAACAATAAATTTTTATCAAATCATTTTAAATTCCCTCAAAAAATTACTTTTCCTCGTTAAAGTACTTCATCCAAACACACTATAAATCAATTTTTAAGGTGTTTCAGAAATACATATCTGAAAACACTCTAAATCAATTTTCAAAGTGTTTTCGGAAATGCATACCCGAAAACACCTATGTTTACACGTTATCATTATTTGAGCGTTATATTTAAACATTAGTGATATTTTCAGATATGCATGATCACCCATACCACTATTTCATTCTCTTCATTTCTCTCTATAATTAAAATCTACCACAAAATTTCAACCATTCTCAATCAATTTTTCGTCTCCAAACCAAGTTTTAAGTGTTTTATCATATCAAAGATAGTATCGAAAGCTGCAATTTAAGGTAAACTTTCCTCATTTTCTTGCATTGATGTTGATTTAGAGATGAAAATACAGCGTCACTTCAGATATGCATATTCAAAATCCACCTACTATATTTCGGATGTACATATCCGAAACTGTCCTTGATATTGAAACATAATTTTGTTTTAACATATTTTGTGTTTTTGTCCGTTTTAGATATGGTGCACTCCGACATGTTTTCCAAAGATGTTGTAAAAGTTTCGGACAAGGTGAATGACGATGTTAAGCTGAATGAGGTGAAAAATGATATTAAAACGATTGATGTCGAGATAGATGTTCGACAACAATTTACAGATGATCAAATTTTCAGTGTTCATCAACATATGTTTGAATGAGTCCGAATGGAAGTTAGTAAACCTTGTTTGACGTTGTGATTGGAAGGTTCGACAATGATACTAATAGAAGACAAGCATTTGTAACGATGACATGCGAGAGAAGTGGAAAATATGTTCCAAAAATTAAGAAGTTAAAACAAGATGACACCAGATTGAAAAAATGATGACACCGTTGAAATTCACTCCTCATGACTCAAGGTACAAAAGTCGGGTCACACGAAATCTTATGTACACTTTCTAATCTTTACTTTTGACTACACTCATCTTGAATTTTAAATCGACTTGAGTGTTGTTGGAATGCTAATTTTGCAGGTTTTTCCTACCACGTCGTACCGGAGATCAACATCGCTTATTCAATACTCCGCATCAACCAATTACATTTAATTCTGGTAGTAGAAGGAAACATTATTAAAGTGTCATACATTTCGTAGAACCTTTAAGAGATTTGAAATTTAGTTCTGACCCAATTAAAACTTATACAACTTTAAAATATCATGGCCGATTGCATGTGACTGGATCTTGTAATTTTATCCAAGTTAACCAAGCGGTTCAACCAATTACTCTGATTCAACTACCAATCATGTAATTTTATCCAAGTTAACCATGTGCATAAACTGCTGCCAACATTTTCACTTGTTATATATGGATGATTATATGCTTTGATTCTTAATCTTCCAGTCACCGTTGTGATGTGATTTGTTATTTCGTACATTAAGTTTCATGTACATGCAGGTTATGGCAACAGTTTGTGAGGAGCTGCCTTTTAGACAATGTTGTTCTAGTATATATCTTTCAGTCTCATGTTTACATTTGACCCAACTTTTCAAGTTTAAATAATAGTTTAATAGGCCATGTTGTTTTAAGTTTGGTTATTCCATAATGATCTGTGATCACTAATACAGGGAGTTCCATTGTTAATAATGGAGGGCCATTCACATATTCAAGACCCAAAGTCCTTTCTCAGCCTTCTTGTTGATATTGCTAGAGTTGAAACAGAACTAGTCTTAACATTTCAGCGCTAAAATTTGCAAGGCAGGGAAGAAATCAAACTCTCACAACTTATATACTGTTTCAAAATTCGTATATATGACACTAGCAACAAAGAATCAAACAATGCTAGAAACCCAAAACAACCTAGCTGCTATGCTTCCACAAAGTAATAATAATACTTACAAAATGTTAATCATTCTCTCTGGAACAGAAACAAAAGAACAAAGCATTAAATACTGGTCTAATACTAATGCTGTATTCTGTTGTTCTTTTTCCTAGTAGAGGGATCCAGAAGCATTGTCCAAAATGAAGCATGGACAGGGACACTAGATATGACACTAACTCGCGGACATCGCTTCCACCATTTTAGCTTAGGGAATGAGAAGAGTGTTTGGTTGCTGGAGTGTGATTTCCATATTTTGATGATTGAAGTCCTTCCAATGTTGCAACAACATCTACCATAGGTGGTCTAAATTTAGGATCTGAATTTAAGCATTGTAGTGCAAGTGCAGCTGCAGCTTGTGCTCCTTTCTTTGAGTACTGACCACCTAATCTTGTGTCCATGATTCTCAAAACTCTTCTGGTATCACTCAAGAAAGGCATTGCCCAATCCACCAGAGTTTCTTCAGAAAGTCCAGGTCTTGCGTCTTCTACAGCACGCTTTCCTGTTAGTAACTCTAACAAAACAACGCCAAAGCTGTACACATCACTCCTTGGTGTCAAATGACCTGTTTCATTGAAACCACCCAAATCGTGTTGAAACATAACTCTGTATGTACATGTCAACAACATTTGATGACTAAATAGAAATACCTGTAGCAACATACTCTGGAGCAGCATAACCTTGAGTTCCAATAACTCTAGTTGAAACATGAGTATTATCTCCTGTAGGACCATCTCTTGCCAACCCGAAATCCGAAAGCTTTGCATTGAAATCCTACACATAAATTGGACTCCTCTCTATCAGAATGGAAACTTACAGGTAATTCTCTATAAAGCAAACTTTAAATGTTACATACTGAATCAAGTAGGATATTGGACGCCTTTAAATCACGAAAGATAACATTTGCATTCAAGGAATGTAAAAATGCTAATCCTTTTGCAACACCAACAGAAATGTTGACACGCGTTGCCCATGCAATAGGTTGAACATTTTCTGCACAAATAGAAAACAAGAACACTTTTTCTGTCATTCCTGGATCAAATTACAAATCAACGCATGTGGTTGTAAGCAATAATGACTTACTTCTGAATAAATGATTTTCCAGACTTCCTTTTTGCATAAACTCATAAACTAGAAGCCTGTTTTTTCCTTGCAAGCAATAACCAATGAGTTTCACAAGATTTTCATGGTGAAGCTGCCCTAGATAATTAACTTCTGCCTGCAAGTAGAAAGATTCAGTATCTATAATAAACAAATGTGGAGATGGGTCTTGTTGTTACACACACACATACATACCAGCCATTCCTTGTGACCTTGAAAGCTTTCTGGCTTGAGATTCTTAATGGCCACTACAATTCCACTCCCTGGTTTTGTTGGAATATACGTGTTTTCATCAATCCATCCCTTGAAGATACGCCCAAAACCTCCCTCCCCGATTAAATTCTCTCGCCGGAAATTCTTAGTAGCCTCCTTCAGATCAATCAAGCTGAATGACTTAAGTTTACTGGAGATTGATGGATCAACATTTTCTTCACTAGAAGCTTTTTGTTTAGATGAATTTGAATACTGATTTGTCCTGCTTTGAGGCTTCTTACTTCCTATGATTAAAACATATAGAATAATCAAGATTGTACATGAACAACAAGAGAAAACTTAGAACAACAATCATGAGATTAACTAACTTTAAAAAATCAATTGATATTAATGAAATGAGAAGAAACAAACCAGAAATATTAGATGAAGAAACATGAGCAACTGGTTTTGTACAAGAACTTCCCATGATGATGAATGAAGAACAAGAGGGTTGGTTTGAATGAAGCTCAAAGAGAGATAAATTAAGAATTAAATTATGTTATTATTTACAATAAAATGATGACTTTCAAGGTTGTGATTTTTGGTGTTACATGAAAATTGAAATAAACAATGTCTAGTTGCAAGCGGCGGTTCCACTCTATTTCCTTGTTTTCAATATTCAACAATGCCTTCTATTGACCCAAACATACAAGTTTTCATATGGCAATTCAAATCAACATCATAAAGGTTATCATTTCATTTTGCTTAGGAAACTCATACTTTTCATTCCTATTAACATATTTATCTGATTCCTTTTACTCCGTACTATCACTATTGTAACAAACCAAGAGAAGAAAACTACTTATAGTCTTTTACATTATTTTAAAAAATTAATTAAATTAAATTATTATTTTTCTAGATTTAATATAAAACATATGTCATTAAAAAAAACTTTTACTTTTTAAATAAGTGAAAAAAATTAAAATATCTACATTAATTAATTTTATTAAATAAATATTACATAAATGAAAAAAATAATAAAAGAAAAGATAGGACAAAAATCTAACCCATTAATAAAAAAAAATTAACAAAAAGGAAAATTAGTTTATATTTTAGAGAATTATCTTTCGCATAATTCAAAACGAAATCTCACAAAAAATTATTAAATGAAAGGTATCATACAAATATTAGGCATTAGTATTTTAAAGTAGTTAAGGGTTTGTAATTTTTTTCTTTTTATTTTTAAAAATCGATTTTATAAATTTCTTTTATAAATATTGATCTGACCTGATCAGAAGGTTTGGACCGTCACGGCTGCTCCGAGCTGAAGGCTTTTTGAACGAGGAGGGGGGGGGTACCTGCAAGGCACTCCGATGCTTAAGTCAGTGGGAGTACTAGCAGATAATAGAGTTGAGGTTAGAATGATCAATATCTGACCCTCTGGAAACAGAGGGTATTTATAGCCCCCAGCGCTGGGCCAAGGTTCCTTCATTGGGCCGAGCGGATTTGGCCCAATGGAGGAACTGCCAGGTCCTACGTGGGTAGTGGGGACCAGCACGTGGTCCCCTTCCTGGATGTGCTGCGTGAAGTGCGGGCGGACGGAGACGCGGTCTTTCCGGAGTATCGTTGGGGAAAGGGTGACTGAGTCTGCCCTAGCAAGGTAGCTCGAGTCCATGTCGAGCTGCGCAGCACGGTGCCGAGCTCGACGCCAAGACCTCGAGCTGGACGTCGGGTGTCGAGCTGGAAGCCAGGACATAGAGCTGGACGGCATGCTGTCGAGCAGGACTTCGTCGTGGGGCTAGACACCGAGATGTCGAGGTGGACATCAGGGTGTCGGGCATGGACGTGGCCCCCTTTGCCCAGTGTGGTCCTTAGTGAGTCCCTTTGGACTGGGCCTTAATGATGCTTTTGGGCCTGTCGGGCCCAGTCCAGAACAGGAGCCCCCCAAGTCGTGGTTCCTTTGCGAGGAGCCATGACTTGAAACAGTTGTTCCGTCGCTGAGGTCTCGTGCCCGGGATGGAGGCGTGGACCCTCGAGGGGTCTCCTCGTGACGTGCTCGGAGACGTCGTCGGTGGTGGATGCGTGGAGGATCCGTACCGGGCGCGTCAGTCGAGCACACGAGGCATCTTTCGGGAGTCGTGCCGCCACCCTAGGGGGGTAGGGCCATCATTGCGTTGGGTGCAGTGCGTCGAGGAGACGGAGTCCGTGGCTGAACGAGGTGACGTTTGGTATTCCACGTCATCACTATAAATAGGGTCCTTGGGCCCCATAATACGTTTTCCGTTCTTCGTGCTCTCTTCGTTGCAACTCTCAACACTCTCTCCAACCGTGACTTCCCGTCTCAGATTCTTCATTTCTTAGCCGAATCCCAACTTTGATCCAAGTAAGTGATCCATTTTCTTTATTTTCCTGTTTTAGAATGCATGATTCTTGGACAGTGTAGATGTTTTAGGACCGTTAATGTGGGATTAGCCCGGTAAACTCGTGTTTTGCCCGACAGATTCATGTCTAGGACCGGCAAACGCATACTTGTGGCCGACACATTCGTAGTTTTAGGTGAAAAACTTCAGAGCTGCCCGGGGTCTTCATGATCCTGGGCGCCTGACTCATGCCGGTGCCCGGTATGTTTATGGTCGTGGCCGTGGGCTTCATAATGCGGCTCGCCATGTTCATACCTCGGATCGATATGCTCGACGAGTGGCCGCGCAGTTGGTTTGTGGAAGAACACTGGATTCAGGAGAGTCGGGGAGGCATCCACTTGTGAAAATGGACTTGTGGTAGTGTATGGACGACATGATTATGTCGAGCATATGACTTCATGCTCAATCTGATTGGTTTCCCGTGCTCTGCAGGTAACCATGGCGGATGAGCCGAGCTCCTCCGGTCGTCGTGACAGCGAAGAACAGAGTGCCGACGAGTCGGCCAACCTTATAGACACCGTGACCGACCCATCGCTGGAATGGGTGGGCGCCGAGCCTCGGGGGACGGCGTCGATATACAGTCGGGATGACCGACATCCGTTCATCGCTATCGAAGAGGGGCAGGACCAGCCCGACTTTCAACCGAATTTCGAGGTCATGCTGCCGTCGACCAACGCCAGAATTTGTTCGATGTACCCGGACTACAGCTTTGCGATGTACGAGATCGCGTTTAAAGACTTGGGTTTGCGGCTGCCTTTCACAGACTTTGAGACCGGGGTTTTTACGCATTTGGAGCTGGCCCCGTCCCAGCTACACCCTAACTCTCTCGCCTTCATCCGGGCGTTTGAGCTGACGTGTCGCTACTTAAGGATAGGGGCGACCATCCCTCTCTTCTTTAGGGTCTTCCACCTACAGCGTCAGTCCCGAGGAGGGAAGCACAGCTGGGTGTCCCTGAAGCAGTCGAGGAGACTGTTTAGGATGTACATGGACTCTGTGAGGGGGTTCAAGGATAAGTGGTATGTGGTACACCCTACTACCGACTCTGCTGTAGATTCCCTCTTCGAGGAGGAAGGGCCGGTCAGCGATGATGACGGGGAAGCAATGTTGACCGATGACGGGAGCCCCGTGTTAGGACGTCGGGCTAAGTTCCCGGTGTACTGGATGTCCCGACACTTCCAGCATGGAACCGGCTATTTCCATACCGCAGTCGGGGACATGTGCACGGAGGATCAGCGGGCGTATGAGGCTCTCTGTAACTTTGTCGACAGTTTTCATCCCGCCCAATGGGTTACGCGGGAAGGGAATGATATCCTCGACAAGGACGGTTACCCGACATTCGAGGCTCGCCCGATCGACACCAAGGCGTTGGTGGAATGTTCAACATACAGGCAGGCAGCCCGCCTGTTAGGTTGTTTGTTTGAAATTCTTTATTCGTCATTTATTTACGCGTTTTGCTCGATACTGACTTTTCTTTTACTTCGTGCAGGTACGATGGCCAGCCGACATGAGAGGCTCCTGAAATTGTCAACCGGCCAGAGGCGAAACAAGAAGGTCGTGCCTGCCCCGCAATTGACGAGAATGGGACCACCGCCAAATCTGAACGCTCCTCAGCCTGTGAGGGTGGATTCGACGTCGAGCTCGAGGGCGGCGTCAGATCCAGAGGTCGAGGTGATTGACGCCAGAGGTCGTGGGTTCGATTCCCACAGACGGCGCCACTGATCTGACCTGATCAGAAGGTTTGGACCGTCACGGCTGCTCCGAGCTGAAGGCTTTTTGAACGAGGAGGGGGGGGGGGGGGGGGGGGGTACCTGCAAGGCACTCCGATGCTTAAGTCAGTGGGAGTACTAGCAGATAATAGAGTTGAGGTTAGAATGATCAATACCTGACCCTCTGGAAACAGAGGGTATTTATAGCCCCCAGCGCTGGGCCAAGGTTCCTTCATTGGGCCGGGCGGATTTGGCCCAATGGAGGAACTGCCAGGTCCTACGTGGGTAGTGGGGACCAGCACGTGGTCCCCTTCCTGGATGTGCTGCGTGAAGTGCGGGCGGACGGAGACGCGGTCTTTCCGGAGTATCGTTGGGGAAAGGGTGACTGAGTGTGCCCTAGCAAGGTAGCTCGAGTCCATGTCGAGCTGCGCAGCACGGTGCCGAGCTCGACGCCAAGACCTCGAGCTGGACGTCGGGTGTCGAGCTGGAAGCCAGGACATAGAGCTGGACGGCATGCTGTCGAGCAGGACTTCGTCGTGGGGCTAGACACCGAGATGTCGAGGTGGACATCAGGGTGTCGGGCATGGACGTGGCCCCCTTTGCCCAGTGTGGTCCTTAGTGAGTCCCTTTGGACTGGGCCTTAATGATGCTTTTGGGCCTGTCGGGCCCAGTCCAGAACAAATATTATAAGTTTTTTAATTTTGTTTTTTTTAATTAAAAGATTAACTTTGACATCAAACAACATAAACATACATTATTGAATATCAAAATATAATGGAAATTGTAATTTTTTTAAAAAGTTATATTTCAAAATGATTTTTATAAAAAAAATATTTGAAACAACTTTAAAATTAAGTGACTTTAAAAAAATTTGATATCCAATTTTTTTAATTAAATGATAATATTTAAACAAAATTTTTATTTGAAAATTAAAAAAAATAGTATTTCATCTCTCAAAAAATTATGGGATAATATTTTATTTCAAGAACAAACTATAAAATAATATTTATTAATTTTTAACTAAAATTTTCTCTCTGAAATATCTCTCTCATATATAGTCTAAATCTACGTGTGGTTCTCATATATATATTTTCTATTGTTTTTATTAGAAGCATCACAATTCTAGTTTGGACAATTTTAATTGATTTGATTTGATTGATTTTTAAAAGTAAAATTGAATTAAACTAATGCAATTTGAATCGTTAGGTCGATTTACTTTTTCATAAATTTTTAATTTAAATACATGTGTTATCAAATAATAAAAAAATAATATCAATGAATATAAATTACAACATCATTTTAACATTAAATAACAAAAAAAATTAAAATAACAAAATACTCACTCCGTCTCAATAAGAGAT